CACTAGACTCTCGCTGTCTGACAGCCACTGATTTGCAGGGACAGGAAAGTGTGTCTGGTGGGTGGGGGGGGGTGCCTCTTGTTCCAGGCAGTGAAAGTATTAAAATCCAACTTACCAGGAAATCCATGGCAGGTAGACGCTGCTAGAGTGACGGCAGTAACAGCTGAGCGCTCCCTGCTGAATGCTTCTATGGACCATTCTCTCCAACCTGCAGGAGCTCCGTCGGCACTTACCATCCTCAAACCCACTGTCCATATGTGGGGACGCCAGGCTTAGACATGAGGAGCTGGCTACAGGTCCCTCAGCCAGGAAACGCTGCCTTGCCCCCAGGTGGGACTCACTCCAGCGCTAACACCTCAGTGATTTGCTAGCCAAGAACCCAGGCCTGGCTCCTGGGAACCCTCACAGGTCAGCGTGGCCCCAAGGTGCGACCTTCTCAGGGGTCTTGGGACCACGAAAAGATTCCACTGACTTGGAGGCTTAAGCAGCAGAAGTTCATTCTCTCACAGTCTGGAGACAGAAGTCCAAAATCCAGACTTATTATGGGTTCTTGTGAGAAAAGGACTGAGTGCTGTGTTCAGGGGACATGCTGGGCCATGGCACTGTGTCCCTGACCTGTTCACAGGGACCTGGTAGCACAATGGTGACCAGCCATATTCCTCACCTGTGGACTGTGTCAGGGAGTCTTTCCTGAATGCCAAGGTGGGCGAGTGTCTGCCACAGGCCTCTTCCTGCCCTGCGGTGCCTGAGGGACGTGTGGCAGGAAGGGACCGAGGAGGAGCTGTGAGGAGCTGGCAGGAGGCTGACAAGAGAAGACCTGTAACTCTCCTGGACGGCCTGAGGCAGGAACAGACTGACCACAGCCCCCATGATGCAGGCCTTGAAGGCCTCTGGCCTTCGAACCCTGACACGGTCAGTATGAGGGACCTAGTCCTGTGAGGGGAGCTGAAGAGACTCAGGACGTGCCCGGTTAAGTCAGTGATTAAATGAATACAGAGATGCCTGAAATACTTGCCATGTGAACATTGTCATGAGCTGCGCTCGGCCCCCAGGGAGAGCCAGGAAGGGCAGGTGAGCAGGACGGAGGCAGGCCTGGTGCCAGGACAACTTCAGGTTTGAAGGGACAGCTGTGTCCCCTGCAGGCAGCAGCCACCCCAGGCGGCCTCTGAAGGCAGGTTGTCCTTCCTTTCAGGATGAAGTCATTCGTGGAACTTCCCCTGGTCCTGTCCTGTCCTCCCCGGGTCCCCAGGAGGGACAGAGGCTATCAGGTGCCTGAAGAGGAAGGGGACAGGCTGGGGAAGTGCTGTCTTGGTGGCAGGGACAGTGGAACTCACCAAACGATCCTTTGCTCCCCCATGTTCTCTAGTCCCTGGCAGTTACCCAGGGCCCTATCACTATGTGGTCACAAAATGTGAGCAGGAATCACACTACTCCTGAAATGACAAGTGGAATCCACACATGGTGCTCCTGGCCCCTGGCCTCTGTGGGGTCAAGAGCCGGTGAGAACATGTGGGTTCCCTGGGGCGCAGCTGCAAGGTGGTGAAGCCTCCACCCCGTTGCCAGGACCCTGCCCTCCCTGTGTCATGGGACACGTGCCATGGGACAGACACACCTTGTTCTAAGACCCCCAGGTGTTGTCATGGTTACCGCAGCACTGCCCAGCCCAGCCTGACCGCTACTCTGCCTAGAAAGGGGGAAGAGACCGGCTTCGTTATTGTCCCGGTGATTCCTGCTGTGAGCCCTGCTACCCCAGACTTAGGGCCTAAAACGCCCCCATGTGCAGTGTCAGGGTTTCTGTGAGGTAGGACCTCCGCTGTTCCGCGGGCTCCTCTGGCTTGGGGTCTCTCAGACAGAAACCAGGACCTTGGCTGGGGCTTGCGGGTCAGGGGAGGGGTCTGCTGCCAGCTCATCACGGTTGCTGGTGGCATGCACTCCCTGTGGCTGCTGGCCCAGGTCCCTGCCCCTTCCCTGTGGTGGCCCAAGTCTGCCCTCCTTGTCACACGGACCTCTGCCCTGAGCAGTTGGCTCATCAGTGTGAACAGGAGCGTGGAGGAGAGGACAGTACAGGACAGACAGACTGATGGACAAACGGGCAGGCGGACGGGCAGCTAATGCTGTGTGCGACCCAGATCTCTAGGGGACAGCCATCACCTTGCTGCACTCTATTCCTTATAAGCCAGTCCCAGGTGCAACCACACTCCAGGGGAGGGGTGACACAGGGTGACCACGAGGGGGGACAGGGCCACTCTAGAAGTTGCTTCCTACAGATGCGCTTGTTACTGACCAGGAGATGTCCTGGGCACCGCAGTCCATGATGTCGTTGCCTCACCTGTCACCGTGAGGCAGGGAGGGGTCTGCAGGTCTGCAGGTGGCCGAGTGGCCTGCCCAGGGCTGCACCCGCTACAGCAGGACGTGATTCCAAATGTTCACATTCGCTTCCCCAGGCTGCCTCCCGAGACCCCAGGGACAGCCCTGGTGACTTCCCCGGAAGACGGGTGGTGTGGTCCTTCCTTCATCCCTCACGTCTCCCTTTTCCGATGCCCTAGGTGTCTGCGGCACTGGGCCCCTGAGTTCTGGAGGTGCGGATTCCAGAGCCCATGTCTCTCTGAAGAGGGTCCGAGGAGGCTCCGTGTTGTTCCACGTGACTCGGGATCTGGAAGGAGACGCAGAAGCTCAGCTGGAGGAGATGGTGTGGGGCTTTGGCCCCGAGACCACCTACAGAGTCCTGCTGCGTGTGGGCAGCGGTGGGGACCGGCCAACCTGGGTCAGTCTCCAGGACAAGTACAGGCACAGGGTCCGTGTGCCCAATATGAGGTCCCTGCTCATTGCGAACCTGACCCGTGAGGACAGTGGGCAGTACCGGGCTCGAGGCAGCTTCTCTGGAGGAAGGGAATTTACCCAGGTGTTCCAGCTCACTGTCAACGGTAGGTGACACCTCTCACCCCCTCCCAGGGCCACTGCCTTTTCTGGTCCGCACTAGTGTCACATAGGCCCTCCTACAGGGACTCCTTCCAGACCCAGCCTTCAGTCTCTCTTAGCTCCCGGGAAGTCAGGTGAGTGGGCTCAACACAAGCGCAGAGCAGACCTGACACTCACACCTGAGCTAGAGTCACTGCAGTGTTTGGGGACAGGAAGACAGAACCTGGGAGGGGATGGGGTTATCGCCACAACACTTCTGTCTCTTTAGAGGAATCAGTTCAGCCATACGTCATCGGTGTGATAGTTTTCTGTGCTGCTGTCACAAAGTACAACAGCTCTGTGCTGAGATCCACACAGACTCATTATCTCACCAGCCATAGGTGAGAGGTCACACACTGAGCAGGGAGCAGGGTGTCGGCAGGGCTGCTGTCCTTCTGCAGGCTCTGGGGACCCAACACTGCCCTTCCCACCTCCCAGTGGCACCCGCGTCCCTGCATGGGGGCCACCCTCCCCGCCTCCCAGTGGCACCCACGTCCCTGCATGGGGGCCGCCCTCCCCGCCTCCCAGGCCAGCAGTGCTGGGTCTCGTCCTTCTCACGCTGCCGCCCTCTGAACCCTCTCCTCCGTTTCCACTTTGAAGGACCTGAGCTCAACTGGTCCCACCCAGACTCTCCCCAAGAACCTCCTTATTGTCCTGCAGTTGATTAGCAATGGTAATTCTGCTCCCTTATTCTCCTTGCAACTCATCCAACGTGCTCACAGGATTTCACAGTTACCACGTGGACATCGTGGGGGCCGCTGCTTGGCCCACCACAGTCTGGAAACCCACGTGTAGGCAGGTGCTCCCCTGCCCCACCTGTGCTCACCTAGCACCTGGCCGAGGCCTCACTCACCGACACCCCACACATCCAGCTCGGAGAGACTACAGACATGCCGGGGACAGGTCACACGGCCACACTTCTTAGGCTCATCAGGCCACTTCTTTCCTTCCTAGAGAACCTCTCTGCATAGGGGACGTCCTGCTGCAGCCAGTGGTTTCTGCAGCTTTAAGTCCCCGTAGGATTCTGTCACTTGGCTTCCTGTGTGAACCTCAAGTTCAGTGGCCTGTGCTAACCCCGCTCACAGCGGCCCTTCCTCGTCACTATCACCGCCTTTCCCACAAATGTCTGTTTGCGGGAGCACAGGTCTTTCTCTGGGCTCCCAGAGCTGGCGGCTTCCTCTCTCCCTGGGCCGAGCCGTCCCACGGGGCCTCAGCAGGAGACGCAGAGCACGGCCCTGGCCTGGGCCATTCCTCCTGTGCCAGACTCTGCACCTCCCAGGAGACACCCCAACTTCTGAGAAATAATGGGCCTTGAGTAGGTGGGGTCCAGGCTTTATTTTCTTGAGGGAGATTTTTAAGACTTGCTCAGCCTGGTGGGATCACATTGGGCTTCACCCCGCGGTTCCCTTCCTTCTGATCACTTGCTATGGATTTTGGCCAATTCTGTTTCACCTGGAAAGTGCTCTCGCCTCCTCAGCGGGAAGACGCCAGCGCTTCGTGAGACTGGGTGAGAACCTGCACTGTGAAGGGCCCCCAACCTGAGCCTTCTGTCTCCCGTCCGCTCCACCACAGAGCCGGTGCCCCTCCCCCAGATCCTGGCCAAGTCACTGTCTGTCACAGCAGACTGGTGCAACATCACTCTGGAGTGCAGAGCCGTGGGGGCCTCGGAGGACCTGAATGTGACCTGGTGGCACAGTGACCTCCCGAGGAAGTGGCAGCAGACAGGAACCCTGGGACAAGGCCTCAGTACCTGGTCCCTGGCTGTGCGCCTGCCCCTGGACCAGGCCAACACCAGCCTCACCTGTAATGCCAGCAACCAGGTGGACCTGAAAACTGCCACCACCACCCTGGGGGACGTCTGTGCCCAAGGTGAGTATAACGTGCCTGGGGAAAGGTAGCACTGCGGTCCTTGCAGGCTTACAGCACACCTTCCCCCTGGTCACACACACAGAGCGGCTGTGAGTCACACCCAACTAGTGTCTGCATTTAAATGTCTCTCACCATCGTGCCGTCCTCTGCACGCTGGCCCCTGCTGACCCAGGAGGAAGCCTTCCTCCCACCCCCACCATCACCCAGAGCCGTCTTCTGGACACAGAACCTGGGTTGTGTCATTTCCTGTGGCGTCTGTGGGATTGGTCTCCAGGGGCTCCCTCCTTCCTGGAGTGCTGTGCCCACCTAGATGTCTGAAACTCCTACGACTCCCTCCAGACTCAGGTTACCCATCACCCCATCCGGTATTTCCTGTCCTCCCTCCTGGGTGACGAGCTCCTCGGGGCAACACCATCCTTGTCATCTCTCTGTACCTGCCATGCTGCTCCGTCCTCGGCACTGAACCAGGACCCTGCGGACTTCCCCACCTGCTCTGTCTCTCTCTCCCCTTGGCAGTGGGTACCTCACGTTCTCTCCTGTCTTACCCTTCCTCACTCTCCATGTGAGGGAAACAGATACACAGGGACAGGCCACTGGTCGCCACCTGCTAGGCCTCGCACCTGCTGTCGTAGCTGTACTGCTGACTGTGGGAGTCGGGCTGTACCTTTGGAAAACATGTGGGATGAAGAAAGAGGAGATGGAGACGGGAACAGGCAGGTTGCGGTTCCCCTTCAGGCCCAGACCCTCCCCCATGCACGGTGCCCCTGGCTCCCTTTGTCCCTTTGTCCCTGCACAGGGTGGTGGTGTGGCCGTGGCCTTGGAGGTCATGGCAGTGGGGGCGTGTACAGGTTTCTGAGGCTCAGAGTCGAGCTTCATTTTGTGTGTGACTCAGGTGCGGGATTGGAGGAGGGCCGGCGGAACCATGAGGATGACATCCACTATGTAGAGCTGAGCCTGTAAGAGTCTCAGGAGGGCGGGGACACGGTGAGAGCTGGGAGCTGTGCCACCTGGGCTCCCCAGGTCCCTCTGTGCCCCCGTCGGGCTTGTCAAACCCGGTCATCTGCCCTTTCTGGCTCCCCTGCCTCCTTACCTCCTTCTGTCTAGTCGACACCACGAAGTGAAAACGTTTACAGGGGACCCGTGTCGTGCGGGCCGTTTGGGAGACGCTTCCACAGTCACGTCAGCAGCACTGCTTCCACGCAGGCCCCTGGGGACCCCTCAGCTGCTCCAGGTGACCCATGTCTTACACTCCTAGGGCGTCCGTTGACAACATCTGGAAGGAAAGAGACCTGTCACTACTGTCTACAGTGAGGTCCACAGGCCAGGCCGGGCCGTGCAGGTCATTTAAGTGGAAGCAGCAGGAGAAGGCAGCACTCCCAGGCTGCCTCCGTTCCCAGCAGGACGCCTGCAGACACATCCTCTCCCAGCTCTGCTCCAGCTCCAGCTGCCTGGTCAGCATTACTGACCCTTGTGCCCTCAGCTCCCTGTCACACAGGACCAATGTCACCTGTGCCACTTTTTCTGCTGGTAAAACAGGATCTCTGGGGATGTGGGCACCCCCACTGCTGGATGGGCCAAGGTCACTGGGCGGCCACCACAGAAACGCCACAGAGGTACAGAGACATGGCTTGCAGGCGCTGCGAGCTTCCTGCAGCCTCTGGCCTCGGTCACCACCCCACTTCCTGGGTCCTCCAGTCATGGGTCATGCCGCCGCTGCTCCAATGTTTCTGCCACGTCCACGAGGTCAAGTCCCATCTTCAGATGTACTGATGGATGGCTCTCGGGGGTCGTCCTGGGCTGTGCACAGGATTCTTTGTTCAGCTATGGATGTCCCAATACTGACTGTGGCTTAACAGGGAGAGGCCAAGGGAAAGACTCAGGCTGTCCCACTGCTGATTCTGCTTCCTGTGAAGGAAGGGCCTCCACCAAAGGATGCTGATTCCGGTGAGTAGGAGCATGACACCAGCGTGGTCCCTGGCTCTGAACAGGCAGAACATGTGCTAGGAGAGCGGCTCTAAACCGAATCGCTGCCAGATTCTATCAGAATGGTACACACTTCCCACCTTGGACCTTAGAACCTCCTGGCTGAGTTGGATAGGCACATTCAGGTTCGATGAGCTGGTCCCCTTGAGGAGAGGGCCAGAGCCAGGAAGGACAATGATGTTACATGACCATCAAAAGTATCCCAGAGAGGGGGCCGGCCGAGTGGCTCAATTGGTTAAGAGCTCGCTCAAGAGTTTGAGCTCTGAGCAACAGCGGTTCGATTCCCGGCCCGAGCTGAGCAGCCACTGAGCTGCCAACAGGTGGCAGGATGGCTCAGCTAAAAAAAAAAAAAAAGATAGGGTGGCTGAATGGATAAGAAAACAAGACCCTTACATATGTTATCTACAAGAGACTCAATTCAGATCGAAAGACACACACAGACTGAAAGTAAAGAGATGAGATAAAGATATTTCATGGAAAAAAAAAAGTATCCCAGAGAGGGCTGGCCAGGTGGCTCAGTTGGTTAGAACACAAGCTGAGCAATAGGTCACCAGTTCGATTCCCACATGGGCCAGTGAGCTGTTCTGAGCTGAGCTGCCTCTGAGCTACCAAAAGGTGGCCAGATGGCTCAGCTGTACAAGGTTTCCAGTTCAACTCCCACATGGGATGGTGGGCTGCACACACCCACAACTATTGGGTCGTTAGAAAAGTCACAGTGTATTTTTCTATGTTTTTCGTTGCAAAAATGCATCATGACTTTTCCAATAACCCAATAGTTTGGAAAGCGGCGACTGGACTTAGAGCTGATGGGTCCTAGAAAAACACAGTGTTCCCTTCCCCAATTCCCCAAAACTGTTTCCTTCGCCAATCCCCAATAAAATCTTTTAAAAAAAAGTGTCCCAGAGAGAAGAGCTCTGCCCCCACATTAGCAAAATGAGGGAGTGAGATGTCACACAGGACAGACGCGCTTAGAGCCACAGTAACTGTTGTGCTGCGTCTTCTTTCCCACCTATGGAGGGAATTTGCAAGGAGCTATGCAAATTTTCTGAGAAGATGTAATGAGACAGACAACATTTTCTTCTCCAAAATCCCAAAGAGGCTGAGAAAGGCAGACTAGCATGAGGAAAACATGAGATGAGCAACCGGAGTAGACAGGCTGGACTCCCCCTCTGAGGGGGCGTCACTTGTCAGAAGTTGGCTTTGAAAGGACAGTGAGGGGACTGCCGACAAGATGGCAGACGCTGTGCCCTGTGATCTTCTTATGCCAACCTGCAGAGGTGCAGTGAGGTTATTTATGTTCAGCTCGCCTTGATCATTTCAAGGGGATGCAAACAGGGCAGATCTGAAAATCATGGAACTTCCCCTGGGGTGGGGAGGCTGTGAAAACAGAGGGCTCAAAAGTTACTGAAGACTGAAAATGGCACGAGATCATCACAGAAGGTAAAAGTCAGGCCAGGTCAAGTTTATCGAAGCTGACATGTGAGTTACCTAAAGATGAACATCTCGAGAAACACAGGACCACGTGGAGTCCCTGTCATGTTACTGACTGTCAGGGCGCCATTAACCAGTGATGCACAGTGAAGCCCAACACTTGTCTGCCTATTTAGGCTGGATGAGTCTGTAACGTCACAGATCACGCAGGACTTCAGCAGGAACCGAGCTGACCTTTTCTTCACAGTCATATCCACTCCTCCCACACAGGACAAACCCCAGACAGAGCCTCTCGTGATGAGTCATATATGGGAACTGAACCAACAGCTTCCCAGAACCATGAACAGCCACTGTCCGGCCTCACTCAGCCCTCATGACTGATGAGCAAGCATCTCCCTTGGCCTCTTCTTCCTCATTTGATTTTTATTGTATCCAAGAGAAAATTCAATTTCTCCCCCAGGCGGTTCACGGAACCTGCCTGTATTGGCTCAATCAGCTTTTACGCATCTGCAGTCCTGAGCACTGCCTGTAACCAAGTCTTGTCTGGGGCACTGTGATGGGGGTGAGGGGGTGAGAAAGGGCACAAAACACAGAAAATTATGTCATGACTGCCGACGACCCAATACTTATCAAGCCAACAAGTTAATTTTCTAAAAGGTGCTCAAATTCACGAATCATCATGGAAAAAGAAACAAAACAAGAAGCCAGTTTTCATATATCAAACTGATAATCAGGATAAGAACGACCAGTATTGGCAAGGCTGTGGGAAAACAGGAAGTCCCATGCACTCTCAGTGGGAATGTAAATATGTACAGCTTTTTGGGGGAGCAGTTTGTCAATAATAAATGTACAATTCACGTTGGTCCTGAAATTCTACTTCTAGGAATTGATCTTAGGAGGAAAGCTGTATATATGCTCAAAGAAACATGTTAAAGTGTGTTATGGCTGAAACTGCTGGTGGCCTACCCATTCTCTATCCTCTGCCTCCCATCTGTGTATTTGGTGTAGTGAGGTGCCTGACTAAACACTGACATTTCCCAGGCTCCCTTGTCAGACAGGGAGGGCCAATGAAATGTAAGCAGAAGTCACTGGGTGGGACTTGAGGGAAAGCTGTCTCGCCCATGTCCTCCTTTCTTCTTTCTGTTGTCTGGAACATGGACGTGATGGCTAGCATTCCAGCAGCCATTTTGTGACCTTGACAATGAGAACCACACACTAAGGATCAGAAAAATACAAGGAGCCTGGGACCCTGACGCTTTAGCATTACCATTTTTTTTCCCTGTAGTTCTCCCCTACAGTTTGTTTCTGGACACAAGAGACAAACAAGCTCATATTATGTCCCCATGATTAGATCTCCCTCGTTAGCAGCAAAGTGTGTTTCTAACAGTCACGGATTCTATTGTAACATTCCTTTAAAGTGAAGGAACGATGTAGAGCGTAAGCGTCTCTGGCTTCCAATTTTCTGAAGTTTTCTACATCCAGTTCCAGTCTCAGTACATGAGAATTCTTTTTTTTTTTTTTAAAGATTTTTATTGGGGAATTGGGGGGATGGGAACAGTGCTGGGGAATTGGGGGAAGGGGAACAGAC